TATTCCCAAATCCAGTCCACTCTAACTCTGTAACAATCTCCAGCAAGTATTCCCAAATCTAGTCCACCCTACCTCTGTAACAATCCCAGCAAGTATTCCCGAATCCAGTCCACCCTACCTCTGTAACAATCCCAGCAAGTATTCCCGAATCCAGTCCACCCTACCTCTGTAACAATCCCAGCAAGTATTCCCAAATCCAGTCCACCCTACCTCTGTAACAATCTCCAGCAAGTATTCCCAAATCCAGTCCACCCTACCTCTGTAACAATCCCAGCAAGTATTCCCAAATCCAGTCCACCCTACCTCTGTAACAATCTCCAGCAAGAATTCCCAAATCCAGTCTACTCTAACTCTGTAACAATCCCAGCAAGTATTCCCAAATCCAGTCCACCCTACCTCTGTAACAATCTCCAGCAAGTATTCCCAAATCCAGTCTACTCTAACTCTGTAACAATCCCAGCAAGTATTCCCAAATCCAGTCCACCCTACCTCTGTAACAATCTCCAGCAAGTATTCCCAAATCTAGTCCACTCTAACTCTGTAACAATCCCAGCAAGTATTCCCAAATCCAGTCCACCCTACCTCTGTAACAATCCCAGCAAGTATTCCCGAATCCAGTCCACTCTACCTCTGTAACAATCCCAGCAAGTATTCCCAAATCCAGTCCACTCTAACTCTGTAACAATCTCCAGCAAGTATTCCCAAATCCAGTCCACCCTACCTCTGTAACAATCCCAGCAAGTATTCCCGAATCCAGTCCATTCTACCTCTGTAACAATCCCAGCAAGTATTCCCAAATCCAGTCCACCCTACCTCTGTAACAATCTCCAGCAAGTATTCCCAAATCTAGTCCACCCTACCTCTGTAACAATTCCAGCAAGTATTCCCAAATCCAGTCCACCCTACCTCTGTAACAATCCCAGCAAGTATTCCCAAATCTAGTCCACCCTACCTCTGTAACAATCCCAGCAAGTATTCCCAAATCCAGTCCACCCTACCTCTGTAACAATCCCAGCAAGTATTCCCAAATCTAGTCCACCCTACCTCTGTAACAATTCCAGCAAGTATTCCCAAATCCAGTCCACCCTACCTCTGTAACAATCCCAGCAAGTATTCCCAAATCTAGTCCACCCTACCTCTGTAACAATCCCAGCAAGTATTCCCAAATCCAGTCCACTCTACCTCTGTAACAATCTCCAGCAAGTATTCCCAAATCCAGTCCACCCTACCTCTGTAACAATCCCAGCAAGTATTCCCGAATCCAGTCCACTCTACCTCTGTAACAATCCCAGCAAGTATTCCCAAATCTAGTCCACCCTACCTCTGTAACAATTCCAGCAAGTATTCCGAAATCCAGTCCACCCTACCTCTGTAACAATCCCAGCAAGTATTCCCAAATCTAGTCCACCCTACCTCTGTAACAATCCCAGCAAGTATTCCCAAATCCAGTCCACTCTACCTCTGTAACAATCTCCAGCAAGTATTCCCAAATCCAGTCCACCCTACCTCTGTAACAATCCCAGCAAGTATTCCCGAATCCAGTCCACTCTACCTCTGTAACAATCCCAGCAAGTATTCCCAAATCTAGTCCACCCTACCTCTGTAACAATCCCAGCAAGTATTCCCAAATCCAGTCTACTCTACCTCTGTAACAATCTCCAGCAAGTATTCCCAAATCCAGTCTACTCTACCTCTGTAACAATCCCAGCAAGTATTCCCAAATCCAGTCCACTCTACCTCTGTAACAATCCCAGCAAGTATTCCCAAATCTAGTCCATCAACAAAACTATGTACATCAGTGGAAGTGTGCTTCACACTGACCAATTAAATTTTGTACATCAGTAGTAGTGTGCTTCACACTGATCAATTAAACTTTGTACATCAGTAGTAGTGTGCTTCACACTGACCAATTAAACTTTGTACATCAGTAGTAGTGTGCTTCACACTGACCAATTAAATTTTGTACATCAGTAGTAGTGTGCTTCACACTGATCAATTAAACTTTGTACATCAGTAGTAGTGTGCTTCACACTGACCAATTAAACTATGTACATCAGTAGTAGTGTGCTTCACACTGACCAATTAAACTTTGTACATCAGTAGTAGTGTGCTACACAATGACCAATTAAACTTTGTACATCAGTGGAAGTGTGCTTCACACTGACCAATTAAACTATGTACATTGTGTATTGTCTGATGAAGGTCACCATGTGGTCATCGAAACATCACACTGTAATCTTCTACTAGCTGTGCTGTAAGAACTTTGAATTTATTCTATAAATTTCCCCTATAAGCCCTACCCTTCTGGTTCTACATCTTTTCTTTTTCCCATACAAACAAACTTTTTACATAAAAATGATTCCACTTCAGCCAAAAGGTCTTCAGACCAATCATATTTGCTCAAAATTCAATTATTCCTACAGGAGGAGTAGGATTTTCAAGAATTTGCTCTACAGCAAAGATTAGGTTGCTTAATAGAAGAAGGAAGGTATTAAATTTTTATCACATATTGTGATGTCAACAATCTTGAAATGGTGCGAGCCATTTATACAGGGGGCTATGGAGGGTACAACAATTCTGGTGGACACGGTTGAAGCAGGGGCGATTACATTAATCCCCCCCCCCCCTCTCCCCCCACTCGAATGGCAGGTTGAAGAAGTCAGAAAGGTAACAAGAGGCCAATGGGCCTTAACGGTCATCTCACTGCAAAAACTTTCAGCAGGGAGTAAGGTTCTTTTTTTCTACATTGAATGAAATTTTACTAAAAAGTTATTTTCCATGATGCAGATGGTAGTTTTGGTAAGGAGAAGGAAACTGTAACAGGTGTTACCTATTTTTGACAGTAAAGCTGGAACTTATCAATCCCACTGGTGAAACATGACAAGAAGTTTGAAATAGGTGTTACACGGGAAAACCATGATTGCACAATCAAGTTTGATAATGGCCTTCCTGGCTGATGTGTCAATGTCAATAAATAACAAGACTTTGTTGGCCACTTAAACATTCCCACCAATGTTTAGCTCAGTGGCACCAATGTTTAGCTCAGTGGCACCAATGGAACTTGAGAGGAAGTTTAAAATGTTATGCAAGGGGAATTACGCACAAAGCACGTTGCTATAAATGTAAAACGATGACATCAGAAGAAGACAGATCAGAAGAAGCAAAGTTCAAAATAGAGACTTTTCTCATTTTTTCATAATGTCACTTAAAATGAATTAAATGAGAATTCCCTGATCATTAGCATGTGGATTACAGTTTTGTGCTAAAGGATAACAACAGTAGTTTCTAGAGTGTCAATAAGATGATGCAAAACGTGACATTATTCCTCGTGCCCCTCTGTTATTTTCAATTGTCCCTACAAAGTATTAAAATAGAGTACTAGCTTGATGTCTGTACAAAGCTTTAAGTACTGGGTAATTACCTAGAATTGTTTAAGAGAACTGAACTGAAAAAAAACGTACTTTGTGATTTGGCATATCTGTTTCCATGGTAACAGAAAAAGTATTTAAATGGTGAACTTCCCCATAACAAAAGATACCACTAGTTTAATAAGTGCAAAAAGTTTTGAGCAATTATCTTGAATGGTTTTTAGAGCACTGGTACAGAAAAACTGAAATCTGTGATGAGGTTTATCTGTTTCCATGGTAACGGAAAAAAATGTAACTAGGGCACTAACCTAATATATACAGAAAGTTTTGTGGAGTTAAGTGGAATGGTTTTGACGTTGTAGCCCGGAAAGGAAAGTTAATACTGATTTTGTGTTTTTGACTATGTTTCCATGGTAACAGAAACAAGAGATCCCAGAGGGATATTGGCACCCACCATTGTTTGATCTTTATCTGCTCTTTGAAAGTTTGATCTTTTCCTTCCTTTTCTCTTCTCTCTTTTTGCTCTTATTGATAAGACATTTGAACACTCCTTTGCAGAAATAAATGATAATCTTTACCTGTCAAATCCAAAATGGCCACATGGAAGTCATTTTGTTTCTTCTGATCAGTCCCAAAATCAAGCGAGCACAAGGAGAGATCAAAGGGAACATACATAGGAAATTTGAGATATCCATTCAGTACTTTTTCAGAAATAGCAATAATAATCTTTTCTAGGCAAAATCCAAAATCACTGCCTGTTGGCCATTTTGTTTTTCTGATCAGGCCCAAATTTAAATGGGCACAACAAGGGACAAAGGGGAACATATATATGAAACCTGAGAGAGATCAATCCAGTACTTAAGATATAGCAATAACTTTTGTTTTTCTGAGCAGTTCCTAAATTACACGGGCACAACTAGTGATCAAGAGGAACCTACATATGAAATCTTAGAAAGATCCAATATGCACTCCTCAAGAAATAGAAATAAGAAATTTTCAAAGTTAAAATACAAGATGGCCCCCATCAGCCATTTTGTTTTTTGATCAGAATGAAAAAAAAATGGGCAGAACTAGGGACCAAGGTGAACCTACATATGAAATTTGAGAGAGATCCATCCCCGACTTCTCAAGAAGTAGTGATAACAACATTTGTTTACGAACAGACAGTCAACGGACCTACCACTGACCACGGATGCAAAGCGATCTGAATAGCCCACCATCTGATGATGGCATGCTAAAGATATAAAAAAAAATGAAATGTCATCAAGAGCAAACAGCGCAACTAGGGCACTAACGCAATATATATACAGCAAGTTTTGAGAAGTTAAGTTGAATAGTTTTGAAGTTATATCCCAGAAAAGCCCACGGACAGATGGACGGAGGGACAAACAGAAGAACGCAAGCATGCAAACGCATTTTGCAGGAGATAACAACAGATGACAGATCACCTCTCTTTAACAAGTTTTTCAAACAATTCAGAAAGATTTCAGCCTTTCTCAAATTTCAAAATTAAACATAATTAAGGAAGCCGATAGAAAAGATTGGAGACTTCTCTTGACAAAAGAGTTTGTATTCTAAATTCTAAATTTAAGCTAAGAATGAAAGATATAGTAATGTGAGTGTGCGACTTACCCTTATGACAGCCTTTGTGGTGGAGTTTGGACTGGCTACAGCTACAACAGGACTGCAGCAGCGTGTTTGAGGAGGCTAATGTCTTATTACAGTGTGTAGCAAGCGTCTCAGGCAGTGAAGGGAGGTGCTTCCTACTAACAGTAAATGAGGAGGTTCTACTCACACTGGCCGCATGCAGAGCCAGATGGTTTGGGGAAGACTTTAGTAGCGAGGAGCCAAGCGCATCAGTGGCCGCTAAAGCCAGCGTGTTAACAGAGTCCGAAGACGACAGTCGCATACTGTTCATGCTTGGCACAGTCAGAAAATTTGGTCGTTGTGGTGAAGATACAGATTCTATGTCTGACATCTCAGGACTAGCTCTAGGTGCAATAGGACTACTGTTACGGCGTAATATATGATTGTCAGTAGTGTTAAGTACATGATAATAATAGTTACATCGATGGGAGCAGCAGGGACATGAGCCAGGCTTGGAGAAGCGAGACAAAGCCGTACCCTTTGTATAGCGTGTACCTTTTTTCTTGCGCTTTCGTAGAGACAACTCTGGCTTTATTTTTCTGTGTGGGTGAGTCCTTCCACGAGCTTCATAGTAAAACTTTACAATATCTCTTTTGGCTCGACGCCATAAATGAGCAAGATATTTCAATATTTCTGTATAGCAACCTCCAGGTTCAGAATTACTAGCTAATGTACTTGATGAATGGAAACGTTTTCTCTCCTGCATCATTCGTTCCGTCTCTCGCTTCTTTGTTTCAGAAAACTGTGTCGCTATCACAACCAAGCATAAATTAATCATAAAAAATGAGCCAATCTGAAAAACAAAACAACATTCAACTAAATTAAGAAGAAAAGTTCAAACAGGACTGAAATGCATTTCAAAACCAAACAATTCACATAACTATAATACTGAAATTTTAGCTAGGACTGTTCTAGAATTAAATGTGGGAGGGGTCGGGAGGCACTTATTTTCTAACCCCAACCACTCATACAATACAAGAGGCCAAATGGGCTTGCATCGCTCACCTGGAATTCAATCTTCATTAAAAATAGAATCAGTGCTTGTATCTCAGACATATTAACATATACACCATTGGCATGCACATTTTGACCAGGAATTGAAGTAAATGCCAAATCTATTTTTCTCAAAGTTTGTTGGGCTTTGACCTAGAATCACCTTTCTACCAAATATCAGGCTTCTTGGACTCAAACTTTTGGTTTACCAGCAGAAATCTTTTACAGGTTTCCAAAAAGTCTGTCACCTTAAATATGAGTCAAGGCCATTTCTTTTCACAAGTATGGCATCATCCTAGGAACCTATCAGCCAAATACCATGCTTTTTCATCTTTTGGTTGGTCAAAACAAATTATTTAAAGGTTTCAACAAATTCAACCCCTGTAACATCCAGCACCCTGAGCCCTTTGGTTCTTTGAATTTGAATGGAAAGTTTATGAACCATGCATGGGCGTGGCGGATGAAACAGGATAGTTATAAATAATCTTTACCGTTCAGATCTGATGACCAAACGAGAGGCCCACAGGCATTAACGTCCATCTGACTGCAAAACCTTTCAGCAGGGAGTAAGGTTATTTTTTTCTACATTGAATGAAATTTTACTAAGAAGTTATTTTCCATGATGCAGATGGTAGTTTTGGTAAGGAGAAGGAAACTGTAACAAGTGTTACCTATTTTTGACAGTAAAGCTGGAACTTGATCAATCCCACTGGTGAAACATGACAAGAAGTTTGAAATAGGTGTTAGGAGTTTGATAATGGCCTTCCTGGCTGATGTGTCAATGTCAATAAATAACGAGACTTTGTTGGCCACTTAAACATTCCCACCAATGTTTATCTCAGTGGCACCAATGTTTAGCTCAGTGGCACCAATGTTTTGCTCAGTGGCACCAATGAAACTGGAGAGGAAGTTTAAAATAAGTATTTTCAATGTGGCAGCCTTGACTGCCATCATGGATTTCAGACATACCTGAAAAATAACAACAATTGGCTAGGACCATCTCAGAATCATTTCAGACAAGTCAGAGCTCAATGCCATTGGTGAAACTTTAGAAGAAGTTTGAAATAGGTGTTGCACAGGAAAACCATGATTGTGCAATCATGATACAAAATGGACTTCCTGGCTGATGTGTCAATGTTTTGACAACGTTGAAAAAAAAATCACAACACTTTGTTGGCTACCTTTTCTTAACACTCCCACAAAGTTTTAGCTCAATGACACCAGTTTAAAATATTTTTTTCAACACAGCTGCCATGGTGGCCATCTTGTTGGATTTCAGACCAACCTGAAAAATAACAACAATTGGCTGGGACCATCTCAGAATCATTTCATACAAGTCAGAGCTCAATCCAACTAGTGGAACTTGAGAAGAAGTTTAAATTGTCAATAGTTTATGCACAGCGGACAGCAGATAATGCACAGCCAACGACGATGGACGACAACAAAAGAAGCATAATGGCTATAGGTAATTGTGACCCTTGGGGTCAGGTGACCTAAAAGCACAACTTAATAAGCAGAGCAAGCTTAAATATGAAATCTGAGAGTCATTTACTGTCAGTCAATCATTTTTTTCTAGTCGGTCCCAAAGAACACAATCATATATATCTATATGGACCATGGATGTAGGGAGATTTGAAAATCATTTGATTATGGGTTAATAAAACAAGGATTTTATAAAAATGATAAAATGACAGGCAGGATTTCTTTATATGCCTACTTACAACTATAAGAGCAACAAAGTATGTCCAGTCCCAAAAGGAATGAGCATCTTGAACATAATACATAATGTTTACCCAACTCTCCAGACTGATGACCTGCAACAAACAAAATAGAATGATCAGCCAACACCAAAACATAAAACACAAGAGATCCCAGAAGGATCTTGGCGTCTTTTTTCTTTCCTTTTTGAACATTAATCATTTGGCTGACTAATACCCTACCCCCGAAATAAACAATAGTTTTGGAAGGTTTGTTCCAACAAGATTCCTCCAAAATGTTTTCATTTCATCACCAAATGAAACAATTTTTTTTCCAAAATAGTATCATTGTCTTTGTCAACCCTCTAAACCTTTTAATAGCAGTTTTCAACTTAATCAGATAATATCTTAATTTCAACCGACTGGAAACCCCCAAGTGTTTTCATGGTAACGCTTTTGGAACAACTTATATGCCAAACTATAAGTTATAATTAGCTGTAGCATTTGATCAAACTGAAAGAAAAAGTGAAAGAGCACAACTTCATATCACAGGGAGGTGGCATGCCAAGTTTCAGAAATATTGCTTCAGTACTTAATTAGATCTACTTGACACAATATTCCAAACAGAATATCTACAAAAAAGGGGTACAATTCTTTTCAATGTCGAAATTTTTAGAAAGTAAAAGGAAACACTACAAAACCTAGGAGGGGTATTGCTGACACATCTACTACAATATATAAAACCTGTAAATAAATAAGAGCTATGAGAGACAATGTCGGTTGGTACTTTTTGTAGCCCAAGTGTCCTCTAGCATCTACATCGGAAGTCAGATATTTTGATGAGCAGACTTTGTTTGTCAAAATTTCCAAAATTTGGTTTAGAAGTTGGTGGAATACTGGGACATATAAAATATTGAGACATTTATAATATTGGGATATATATAAAACTGGGACATTTATTATACCGCAGCATACATAATATTGGGACATATATAAAACTGGGACATTTATTATACCGGGGCATATATGATACTGGGACATATATAAAACTGGGACATTTATAAAACTGGGACATTTATTATACCGGGGCATGTATAATACTGGGACATATATAATATTGGGACACATATAAAACTGGGACATTTATTATACTGGGGCATATATGATACTGGGACATATATAAAACTGGGACATTTATTATACCAGGGCATATATACTACTGGGACATATATAATATTGGGACATAGATAAAACTGGGACATTTATTATACCGGAGCATATATAATATTGGGACATATATAAAACTGGGACATTTATTATACCGGGGCATATATAATACTGGGACATATATAATATTGGGACATATATAAAACTGGGACATTTATTATACCGGGGCATGTATAATACTGGGACATATATAATATTGGGACACATATAAAACTGGGACATTTATTATACTGGGGCATATATGATACTGGGACATATATAAAACTGGGATATTTATTTTACCGGGCATATATAATACTGGGACATATATAAAACTGGGACATATATAATATTGGGACATATATAAAACTGGGACATTTATTATACTGAGGCATATATAATACCTTTCAAGGGGTCACACCTTATTGAGTTTACCATACTTAGGGGCCACAACTTAGTGAGTTTACCATACTTAGAGGCCACACCTTAGTGAGTTTACCATACTTAGGGGCCACACCTTATTGAGATAATCATACTTAGGGGCCACACCTTAGTGAGTTTACCATACTTAGGGGCCACACTTTAGTGAGTTTACCATACTTAAGGGCCACACCTTAGTGAGTTTACCATACTTAGGGGCCACACCTTAGTGAGGCTCCCCTTTTTAGGCACCACTATATTCAATGGGCCTATATCATTCACTTGATAGTAAATGCTTTTCCCAAATACATTTCCATTTCACATCATTGATGTTCAAAGTCTTGGTTACTGTAAAGAAGTTTTTCACAAATTTAACCCTAACCAGCCAAATAGCATAATTCTAGGTTTTCTTGTCATTGAGTTAATTAAGAAATTTGACCCCCTGTGAACATACGGTCAAGGTGGTTTTTTTTGTTAACAAATCTTGGGCTTTATTCAAGGAACCTTTTAACTAGGTATCTGAACCCTAGACACCACACCAATGACAGTCAATAGACATCACAACAGGGCATAAGTCCACTTATCCCTTTGACCAGCTGAGCTAAATATAAAAATGCATTAAACAGACAGATCTATATGTCTAGTAGATTTTCAGTGGAATTATCTTACCTGAAATATTGCCACCCAGGCAAGACCTATATTATCAAAGGAGATAGCCCCCTGAAAAGGGTTTTTATCACCTGCCATACAGGTGGTGTAGTACTGATTCCAGTTGATACAGGAGTCGTTGGTTGGTGTGTTATTGCTGAAGGGGCGGGCACTTCCATTGCACCTAATACCTTCATATTCATACCTGTAAAAGTTCTTACACTGGCGCATACCCGACTCCCCAGGCATGCTGCATATATAGTCCTGATTAAGTTTCTTTGGAATGAAGTAGGGGCTAAGATTAGCACTGAAAAGTTTTAAAAAATCACTTTATAGAAGCATCAATACAATCCGTCATCAATATAATAATATAGTTATTTACACAACAGAACAAAACAAAGTGATTTGTATAAGTATTGACCTTGAACCATCAAAAAATTTACATTAAGTAATGCTTCATTTATATAGTATCCATTTAACTTTATCATCTCTATTTGTAGATTCTATAAGATGTTTAAGTCAGTATACTTACTGTGCATAAGATATGTTTTCGCTGATATTTAAAAAACACCTGTTTCTCAGTACTCCTGCCCAAAGCTGGACACCAATTATACCAAAAATAAAGAAAACAAAAAAACACAGAAGGAGAACGTTCCCCAGCATAGGAAGGGTGTCCAAAAGTAACATCACCAGGATCCTCATACCTGTAAACAAACAAACAAATAGTGGTAGTAACATCATAAGGATCCTCATACCTGTAAACAAACAAACAGTGGTAGTAACATCACAAGGATCCTCATACCTGTAAACAAACAAATAGTGGTAGTAACATCACAAGGATCCTCATACCTGTAAACAAACAAACAAATAGTGGTAGTAACATCACCAGGATCCTCATACCTGTAAACAAACAATTAGTGGTAGTAACATCACCAGGATCCTCATACCTGTAAACAAACAAATAGTGGTAGTAACATCACCAGGATCCTCATACCTGTAAACAAACAAACAAATAGTGGTAGTAACATCACCAGGATCCTCATACCTGTAAACAAACAAATAGTGGTAGTAACATCACCAGGATCCTCATACCTGTAAACAAACAAATAGTGGTAGTAACATCACAAGGATCCTCATATCTGTAAACAAACAAACAAATAGTGGTAGTAACATCACAAGGATCCTCATACCTGTAAACAAACAAACAAATAGTGGTAGTAACATCACAAGGATCCTCATACCTGTAAACAAACAAATAGTGGTAGTAACATCACCAGGATCCTCATACCTGTAAACAAACAAACAAATAGTGGTAGTAACATCACAAGGATCCTCATACCTGTAAACAAACAAACAAATAGTGGTAGTAACATCACAAGGATCCTCATACCTGTAAACAAACAAACAAATAGTGGTAGTAACATCACCAGGATCCTCATACCTGTAAACAAACAAATAGTGGTAGTAACATCACAAGGATCCTCATACCTGTAAACAAACAAATAGTTGTAGTAACATCATAAGGATCCTCATACCTGTAAACAAACAAACAAATAGTGGTAGTAACATCACAAGGATCCTCATACCTGTAAACAAACAAATAGTGGTAGTAACATCACAAGGATCCTCATACCTGTAAACAAACAAATAGTGGTAGTAACATCACCAGGATCCTCATACCTGTAAACAAACAATTAGTGGTAGTAACATCACATGGATCCTCATACCTGTAAACAAACAAATAGTGGTAGTAACATCACAAGGATCCTCATACCTGTAAACAAACAAACAAATAGTGGTAGTAACATCACCAGGATCCTCATACCTGTAAACAAACAAATAGTGGTAGTAACATCACAGGGATCCTCATACCTGTAAACAAACAAATAGTGGTAGTAACATCACAAGGATCCTCATACCTGTAAACAAACAATTAGTGGTAGTAACATCACATGGATCCTCATACCTGTAAACAAACAAACAAATAGTGGTAGTAACATCACAAGGATCCTCATACCTGTAAACAAACAAACAAATAGTGGTAGTAACATCACCAGGATCCTCATACCTGTAAACAAACAAATAGTGGTAGTAACATCACAAGGATCCTCATACCTGTAAACAAACAAATAGTGGTAGTAACATCACAAGGATCCTCATACCTGTAAACAAACAAACAAATAGTGGTAGTAACATCACAAGGATACTCATACCTGTAAACAAACAAATAGTGGTAGTAACATCACAAGGATCCTCATACCTGTAAACAAACAATTAGTGGTAGTAACATCACCAGGATCCTCATACCTGTAAACAAACAAATAGTGGTAGTAACATCACAAGGATCCTCATACCTGTAAACAAACAAACAATTAGTGGTAGTAACATCACCAGGATCCTCATACCTGTAAACAAACAAACAATTAGTGGTAGTAACATCACCAGGATCCTCATACCTGTAAACAAACAATTAGTGGTAGTAACATCACAAGGATCCTCATACCTGTAAACAAACAAACAAATAGTGGTAGTAACATCACAAGGATCCTCATACCTGTAAACAAACAATTAGTGGTAGTAACATCACAAGGATCCTCATACCTGTAAACAAACAATTATTGGTAGTAACATCACAAGGATCCTCATACCTGTAAACAAACAAATAGTGGTAGTAACATCACCAGGATCCTCATACCTGTAAACAAACAATTAGTGGTAGTAACATCACCAGGATCCTCATACCTGTAAACAAACAAATAGTGGTAGTAACATCACATGGATCCTCATACCTGTAAACAAACAATTAGTGGTAGTAACATCACATGGATCCTCATACCTGTAAACAAACAAATAGTGGTAGTAACATCACCAGGATCCTCATACCTGTAAACAAACAAATAGTGGTAGTAACATCACCAGGATCCTCATACCTGTAAACAAACAATTAGTGGTAGTAACATCACAAGGATCCTCATACCTGTAAACAAACAAATAGTGGTAGTAACATCACAAGGATCCTCATACCTGTAAACAAACAAATAGTGGTAGTAACATCACAGGGATCCTCATACCTGTAAACAAACAAATAGTGGTAGTAACATCACCAGGATCCTCATACCTGTAAACAAACAATTAGTGGTAGTAACATCACCAGGATCCTCATACCTGTAAACAAACAAATAGTGGTAGTAACATCACCAGGATCCTCATACCTGTAAACAAACAATTAGTGGTACCTGTACTAACAATTCTTATTACAATTGAACTATCATCCTGTACTAACAATTCTTACTACCATTGAACTGTCATCCTGTACTTACAATTCTTACTACCATTGAACTATCATCCTGTACTTACAATTCTTACTACCATTGAACTATCATCCTACACTAACAATTCTTACTACCATTGAACTGTCATCCTACACTATCAATTCCTACTACCTTACTATTCTTACTACCATTGAACTATCATCCTACACTAACAATTCTTACTACCATTGAACTGTCATCCTACACTAACAATTCTTACTACCATTGAACTGTCATCCTGTACTTACAATTCTTACTACCATTGAACTGTCATCCTACACTATCAATTCCTACTACCATTGAACTGTCATCCTGTACTTACAATTCTTACTACCATTGAACTGTCATCCTGTACTTACAATTCTTACTACCATTGAACTGTCATCCTACACTATCAATTCTTACTACCATTGAACTGTCATCCTACACTAACAATTCTTACTACCATTGAACTGTCATCCTGTACTTACAATTCTTACTACCATTGAACTGTCATCCTACACTAACAATTCTTACTACCATTGAACTGTCATCCTGTACTTACAATTCTTACTACCATTGAACTGTCATCCTACACTACACTAACAATTCTTACTACCATTGAACTGTCATCCTGTACTTACAATTCTTACTACCATTGAACTGTCATCCTGTACTTACAATTCTTACTACCATTGAACTGTCATCCTGTACTTACAATTCTTACTACCATTGAACTATCACCCTACACTAACAATTCTTACTACCATTGAACTGTCATCCTACACTAACAATTCTTACTACCATTGAACTGTCATCCTGTACTTACAATTCTTACTACCATTGAACTGTCATCCTACACTAACAATTCTTACTACCATTGAACTATCATCCTACACTTACAATTCTTACTACCATTGAACTGTCATCCACTACAATTCTTACTACCATTGAACTGTCACCTACACTACAATTCTTACTACCATTGAACTGTCATCCTGTACAATTCTTACTACCATTGAACTGTCAATTCTTACTACCATTGAACTGTCATCCTGTACTTACAATTCTTACTACCATTGAACTGTCATCCTAAACTAACATTTCTTACTACCATTGAACTGTCATCAATTCTTACTACCATTGAACTGTCATCCTACACAATTCTTACTACCATTGAACTATCTACTACCTTACTACCATTGAACTCATCCTACACTACAATTCTTACTACCATTGAACAATTCTTACTACCATTGAACTGTCATCCTAAACTAACAATTCTTACTACCATTGAACTGTCATCCTACACTACATCCTAACAATTCTTACTACCATTGAACTGTCACCCTACACTAACAATTCTTACTACCATTGAACTGTCATCCTGTACTAACAATTCTTACTACCATTGAACTGTCATCCTACACTATCAATTCCTACTACCATTGAACTGTCATCCTGTACTTACAATTCTTACTACCATTGAACTATCACCCTACACTAACAATTCTTACTACCATTGAACTATCATCCTACACTAACAATTCTTACTACCATTGAACTGTCATCCTGTACTTACAATTCTTACTACCATTGAACTATCATCCTGTACTAACAATTCTTACTACCATTGAACTATCATCCTGTACTTACAATTCTTACTACCATTGAACTGTCATCCTGTACTTACAATTCTTACTACCATTGAACTGTCATCCTACACTAACAATTCTTACTACCATTGAACTGTCATCCTACACTAACAATTCTTACTACCATTGAACTGTCATCCTACACTAACAATTCTTACTACCATTGAACTGTCATCCTACACTAACAATTCTTACTACCATTGAACTATCATCCTACACTAACAATTCTTACTACCATTGAACTGTCATCCTGTACTTACAATTCTTACTACCATTGATTCTTACTACTACCATTGAACTGTCATCCTGTACTTACAATTCTTACTACCATTGAACTGTCATCCTGTACTAACAATTCTTACTACCATTGAACTGTCATCCTACACTATCAATTCCTACTACCATTGAACTGTCATCCTGTACACATTCTTACTACCATTGAACCATCCTGAACTTCTTACTACCATCATCCACTTACAATTCTACCTGTCATCCTGTACTTACTTACAATTCTTACTACCATTGAACTATCATCCTACACTAACAATTCTTACTACCATTGAACTGTCATCCTGTACTTACAATTCTTACTACCATTGAACTGTCATCCTACACTAACAATTCTTACTACCATTGAACTGTCATCCTACACTAACAATTCTTACTACCATTGAACTATCATCCGACACTAGCAATTCTTACAATTCTGTACTACCATTGAACTGTCATCCTGTACTTACAATTCTTACTACCATTGAACTGTCATCCTACACTAACAATTGAACTTCCTGTACTACCATTGAACTGTCATCCTACACTACAATTCTTACTACCATTGAACTGTCATCCTGTACTTACAATTCTTACTACCATTGAACTGTCATCATTACAATTCTTACTACCATTGAACTGTCATCCTGTACTTACAATTCTTACTACCATTGAACTGTCATCCTACACTAACAATTCTTACTACCATTGAACTATCACCCTACACTAACAATTCTTACTACCATTGAACTGTCATCCTACACTAACAATTCTTACTACCATTGAACTGTCATTCCTACACTATCCTGTACTTCAATTCTGTCATACTACCATTGAACTGTCATCCTGAACAATTCTTACTACCATTGAACTCATCCTGTACACTACAATTCTTACTACCATTGAACTTACTACCATTGAACTATCATCCTACACTAACAATTCTTACTACCATTGAACTGTCATCCTGTACTTACAATTCTTACTACCATTGAACTGTCATCCTGTACTTACAATTCTTACTACCATTGAACTATCACCCTACACTAACAATTCTTACTACCATTGAACTATCACCCTACACTAACAATTCTTACTACCATTGAACTATCACCCTACACTAACAATTCTTACTACCATTGAACTGTCATCCTACACTAACAATTCTTACTACCATTGAACTGTCATCCTGTACTTACAATTCTTACTACCATTGAACTACCATCATACACTAACAATTCTTACTACCATTGAACTGTCATCCTGTACTTACAATTCTTACTACCATTGAACTGTCATCCTACACAAACAATTCTTACTACCATTGAACTATCATCTGGCTATAGGTCATCCTGACCCTTTCAGTCAGACAACCCAATAATTTAGACAGAATCTTATCGTTCCCACAGACGCAGTAGGATTTTAAAGAATTTGCTATATTTCCAATATTGAGCCCCACTCTTCCTTCACCAATGAGCAGAGACCCACCATTATTTTCACAAAAATTGATTCAACATCATCCCCCAAGATTACTACTGACCAAAGTTGATCTAAATCCCCTCAGACATTCATGACTAGTAGTGTTTTGAAGAAAAAAGAAATGGACAACAGACAACAGGACAATGGAAGATGGACGGATATCATAGTATCTTTATATATCCCTCAAAATCTTCATTGTAAAAATCCAAGATGGCCACCTGTCAGTCAGCATGCTTTCCTGATCAGTCCCAAAATCAAAAGGACACAGCTACAGATGAAAAGGAGCCTACATATGAAACCTGAAAAAGATTCATTCATTACTTCTCAAGACATTGTGATAACAAACTTTCTTTGTCAGCCCTGTCAACTACATCTTTATAAGAAGCATTCCAAAGAACAGTTGAGCTTACCTGAAAATAAATCTATCAAGTTATAAGGCAGTGTAACCTGTCATTACAGAATGATTCTACTATAATTGTACTTACTTGGAATTCTATTTATAGCTCGGAGAGGACGAAGTACTCTAATGGTTCTGATTGCTGAGAGGCTTAAGTTCTCACTGTCAATACCATACTCTATGGAGCTGTAAGATATAAACAGTAACAACAAATGAGAAGTAAGTTCTGTGACAAAAACAATATTCATATAAAAGTCTCCAAAAGGTGTCTACATATGTATCATATATAGCAAGTGTCTACACATGTATCATATAAAGTCTCCAACAGGTGTCTACATATGTATCATATATAGCAGGTGTCTACACATGTATCATATATAACAGTTGTCTATACATGTATTATATATAACAGGTGTCTACATATGTATCATTTATAACAGGTGTCTACACATGTATCATATAAAGTCTCCAACAGGTGTCTACACATGTATCATATATAGCAGGTATCTACACAAGTATCATATATAACAGGTGTCTACACATGTATCATTTATAACAGGTGTCTACACATGTATCATATAAAGTCTCCAACAGGAGTCTACATATGTATGATTTATAACAGGTGTCTACACATGTATCATATATAACAGGTGTCTACACAAGTATCATATATAACAGGTGTCTACATATGTATCATTTATAACAGGTGTCTACACATGTATCATATAAAGTCTCCAACAGGTGTCTACACATGTATCATATATAGCAGGTATCTACACAAGTATCATATATAACAGATGTCTACACATGTATCACATATAACAGGTGTCTACATATGTATGATATATAACAGGTGTCTACACATGTATCATATATAGCAGGTGTCAACACATGTATCATATATAACAGGTGTCTACAGATGTATTATATATAACAGGTGTCTACATATGTATGACATATAACAGGTGTCTACATAAGTATCATATAAAGTCTCCAACAGGTGTCTACATATGTATGATATATAACAGGTGTCTACACATGTATCATATATAGCAGGTATCTACACATGTATCACATATAACAGGTGTCTACATATGTATGATGTATAACAGGTGTCTACACATGAATCATATATTTAACAGGTGTCTACATATGTATCATATATAGCAGGTGTCAACACATGTATCATATATAACAGGTGTCTACACATGTATGATAAATAACAGGTGTCTACACGTGTATCATATATAACAGGTGTCTATACATGTATCATACATAACAGGTGTCTACATGTATCATCCAAAATGATTCTTTTGAAAATCCACAAAAGGCAAACTCTGACCCTTAGTAACACTAAATAATTATGCTGTTTGTCTTATAAAAGCTATTGTGGTTAACATGTGAAGGTATTTTCTCTGGTCAAGTTGGTGGCAGTTATAACAGAGCTGTGAAGAAGACATCTCCAGGTTTTGTTTAAAATTCAGTCTTCTTGCCAAAGGGTCTTAAAGACTTTCCAGCCAATAGAAATTGCTCTGCTCTTTTGTGTCTATTGTTAATGAGTCTAGGCATTCTGACCTTGATCACCACAAACAAATTTCTACAGCAAGCCATACTCACCCATCACCTGAACAATACAAACAAGGATGCATGACATGTAGACAGGTGTCTATACACATGCTAACTGAGACATGTATCAAAGTTATCTGTAGACATGACATGTAGACAGGTGTCTATACACATGCTAACTGAGACATGTATCAAAGTTATCTGTAGACATGACATGTAGACAGGTGTCTATACACATGCTAACTGAGACATGTATCAAAGTTATCTGTAGACATGACATGTAGACAGGTGTCTATACACATGCTAACTGAGACATGTATCAAAGTTATCTGTAGACATGACATGTAGACAGGTGTCTATACACATGCTAACTGAGACATGTATCAAAGTTATCTGTAGACATGAAATGTAGACAGGTGTCTGTACACATGCTAACTGAGACATGTATCAAAGTTATCTGTAGACATGACATGTAGACAGGTGTCTATACACATGCTAACTGAGACATGTATTAAAGTTATCTGTAGACATGACAATGTATATCTATATATGTAAAGAAGTCCAAAAGGTAGAGCCAACGCCGTGATTAATCGTGGTTCATAAGGTGGTTCCGATGTCCTTCGTTTGGATACCACAAGGGTATGCAGGGCGATTGGAGAGTAAGGGCAAATCTAAAAGGGTATCATCAATCGCAACAAACTAGGGACAAGTTGGTTATAAAAAAAAAAATTGATAACTCTAGATATAGAGATTAGTACATGCTGAATTGTCCATTGGTAGTATGGTCCATTGGTACCAATGGACAATTCAGCATGTACTAATCTCTATATCTAGAGTTATCAATTTTTAAAAATGTCTATTGATGACGTCACAGTACAACCTATTGTTTATGACGTCATAGTTGTCAACCATTGTTTATGATGTCACTGTTCATATATATATATGTAGAACAATAGTATGAACCCGCTATTTTTGTACTTCAGGGGTACTGATATCCTAAATTTTTGTCCTGAAGAAGCCCATTGTTAGGGCGAAACCGGTCGACAAATAAAATAGACACGGAAAATAACCAACTTGTCCCTAGTTTGTTGCGATTGATGATACCCTTTTAGATCTATATATGTAATATCTACATACACTCTTGTATCTATGAACAAACATCTTTTAAAACACTGTATACAATCAAAAAGATAGTTTAACAGTATAATCATAGACCCCTAAAGTTTTAACAAAACACTTCAGTATTTACTCAATAAATGAGTAAAAAAAAATCATTTTGTCGTGTCCCAGGTAATCAAACTATTTTACTGATGAAGATTTTTTACCTGACAACCACAACCTTTTTTTTCAATGTTCATAAAAACACAATGCACCACAATGTTGTCAAATCCTAATAAAACAAAAGGCATCTGGTCTAAGTCATAAGAAAGCAAGAGCTCATATAAAAATCTTTGTACATGTAGTAGAGAGTACAACAAAAAATCTAGGCAAAACCATTTGTACATCATATTGTCTACACTAGTTTCATCAATATGTAGGATCATTTCACAATACATCGAAGAATCTCTTCCGTCTCTCACTTCACCTGTTTATATATCTTAGGAACAATAACGCAAGTTTCTATTCTGTCTTTTTGATCAAAATCTAACCCGCACATTAAGGGATCAAGGGGCATATCAATCATTGTTTCTCAAGAAGAAAAGGGATAACAAAAGTATTTTAAGGACAGATGGATGGACGGACAGACAGACCATAGACAGACCACAGACCATGGACATTGCCTGTCTTGGCTAAAACTATATATACATGTATAAGAACCAGTATCAACTATTTATATATATATAAGATCCAGTCATGTAAGATTTGAAGTCTGTCTTTGTTAAATCTATTACTATTTATATAAGGTCCTATGTTGTAAGATTTCAAGTCTGTCTTTGTTAAAACTATTACTATTCATATAAGGTCCTATGTTGTAAGATTTCAAGTCTGTCTTTGTTAAATTGAGGTTTTTTAATGTAAAACCAATTTTCATGATGTAATACTTACCATAACTTTAGTATGCAAATACAGTACCTACACCCATCTTTGTATCCCAACAACAAAAGATTCAAAAGAAAAACAATCCCGCCCGCCCTACGATCCATGAGCCATCACGGCAGGAACGCAGAGTGATCTCCCTTCCTCTAATAACCTTTATGGCGTAAACCCCACAGAGGGGCAGCCAGGCAGATAAGGAAGAGGGGAGGATAGGGTGGGACTCCATAAAGTTATGGTAAGTATTACATCATGAAAATTGGTTTTACATTAAAAAACCTCAATTTCATTTCAGTAATAATTACCATAACTTTAGTATGCGAATTTGTCTTACCGTAGTGGTGACTAGAAGCCAGGCAGCCCCTTCAGCACAACCAAAGTAGTAGGGAGGGAGAACAGAGTGCTAAAGTGAAGGAAGGGACCTCTCTGTGAAAGAGCAGGTGTACCCACATGCCGCCGTACGGAAAGACATGGCCCGGGGCTAACGAGGAGGCCCAGCCACTGACTATGCCACCACCAAAGGTCCCAATGAATACAGGCCTTCTGAGTGGGAAGCTAGGGATCACAGATAAAAATCTGTTAAGGTATCCCTGCCCTGCCAGAATACTGCAGACATGACCTCCTGAAAGGAGGACTCATTGAGAGAAGGGCCCAGGATGAAGCAAGGGCCCTGACCTCGTGAGACCGCGCTTTCACTCTCGCCCGAGCCAGATCATCAAAATGCTCGTAAGCATACTAAATCACCTGGCAAACCCACCTGGAAACCGACTGGGAGGAGATATCTCGTTGCCCCTGTTTAATGGGCAAAACAGACGGGATCGAGAGCCCCGCCCCCCCCCTTGGTTTTATCAAGATAAAACCTAAGAGCCCGACAAGGACAAAGCAACCTATCTCGCTCCTCCGAGCTAGTCACAGCCAGGATCCTGATGGAACTTGGTGAACACCAAAGGAGCTGTCGTGAGCCCCAAGGGCATCTCTGCCTTGGCAGCATGGTCCCTACTTCCTCCTGGAGCACCCGTGCCCTTTCTGAATCCCCGGGAGGAGGAAAGAAACAAAAACGGCCAGGAGGCGAGGGACGAATCCTGAAGAAGGGGAATACCTAGACCCTCCCTGACCACCGACAAAAGCCCAAGCGTCCTCTGTAATATCCTGCCACTAGGAAAGGAAAGCAGAGAGACGTCCGCCCACAGGGAGTTCCGGATGGGGCAGATCGAGCCCCTGCCAGACCAGAGAATCGTCTGCCCACCCGGAGCCTGAGCCTGCAGGAGAAGGACATGAGCCCGGGAAAGGAGAACCACCGTCCACCCGGCCATACCCTTCGCCTTTCGCGGCCAAGAAGCAGAAATAGTCAGGAACCCTTCTTCTTGCCCCCAGGAGGTTTCTTACCCTTCCTACCCTTCCCCTTGTTGCCGTTGAAGTGAGGTTGGGACTTGGGCTGTGCAGAAAACTGAGCAGCCGAAGACTTCGCCTTCTTCTTAGGAGGCACTGACCCCTGCGAGGCACTGGCCTTCTCAGCCTGAAACCTCTTCACCAGAAGTGCTGAGGCGACCGAGTCCTCCTTCATATCCTTCTGAACCCAAGGAAGA